GTCGAGTTGCGGGGTGTTTTGGTGGAATCCGTGCTAGTGGGGATGTTGGGGTGGCTCCCGGATTGCATGCGTGCCTGCAGGCTACAAGAACATCCTGCCACATCGGCGAGGTTGTGACCAAGATTTGATTTTCCTCCTCGGCAGCAGGACAGGCTCAGGGTGACTTGTGTGTCGAAGCGCTCTAAGCTCGAAGTTTGGTGAAGATAAGAACGTTCCGAGTAAATGTAGGGTTTAGGGTTTAGGGTTTAGGGTTTTAGGGGTTTAGGGGTTTAGGGGTTTAGGGGTTTAGGGGTTTAGGGGTAGATGTTTGGCCTGGGACACCTGCGGCTGATTTAATTGTGTGCAGTGTATGCCGCCGCTTGCTTGCGACTGGGCTAAGGGTCGGGAGAGAATCGCAACAAGTCTCCAGCATGTCGCGCATTGTGCACACATAATGTCGGAGTATTGTGCATTGCACATAATTGTGGACAGACCCGAGCGCATGCAATGCCTCTTTTGCGATCGCACGTGTCCGCTTTGAAGCGTCGCTCCAGAGCAGTCGCTGATAGTTGCGCACGGAAAAAGGACTGCTTGCTTTCTGCTAGGCGCCCTGTGTCTTGTTTCTGGATCTGCAGACTGCAGGTCTGTTCTGCGGTGCTTGGGAACCCTGTAGCCAAGGTGCTGTCCGGTGATGGCCTGCTAACAGGCGACGCCGAGACACGAGCTCAGATGCAGCAGGAATCCGCTTTCGTGGCCCGTGTTCAGGCTGGTGGCCCAATCGCTTCTTCATGTGTTTGTGTGCGGTGACCGTCCCTCACAGGCAATGGAGCTAGCCCGAGATGTGAAGCCGGGTACGCTTCAACAAGCGCGGCGGCAGATCAAAACCGCGAGCCGTGAGCCTGTGAAGTACGCGCACGCCATTGCGAACACCTTGGAGCATGGAGCCGGGATCGATATCGACAGATTTGTTCCGAGCCGGACTGCGCCCTACACATGTACCGATGCGCGCGCGGTCTTGGAAAAGGATTACCTCATTTTTCTCAGCGACGGGGAACCCAAGCAGTCGCCGGGCAGCTTTTGTTTTTTTTCAGACGTGCAGTAACAGGAAACAAAGTGTATTTGCAATCCACGTTTAGCGTGCTCCATGCCTCCTGTCAGATCATCCGAGGGTGAAAGTGCTACATCAACTCCTCTATGCTCTAGATATCAGAGGCTTCCACCGAGTCGACATCCATCACAGGGTGAACAACGACAGCCTACTCCCAGCAAAACAGCTGGGCCTGGAGGGACACATAGCTGCACAGCTTGCCTATAGGTTGGCAGATACCTGTTGCTGTTTCCCGTTCCCATAGCCCACCCTGCCCTCCTCGCTTTATGGTTAAGCAACATTTCCCAAAATGACAGGGTGCATGGCAACTCCATGTAATATCCTTGTTCATGAGTTTCGGCTTTGTGCCGGTCACGGTGCAGAAGAGCTTTGGCTGAGGTGTGCTAGCCTGCACCCGATTTGCTATGTCCTTGACTCGGATGCCGTGGCAGTCGTACGAACATGGACATACCATGGTCAGATTGAGCGAAGAGTTTCTAGAAGCTCACCCCCCCCGGTCAGAGTTGTGCCCCAGCTTATATGTGCTTGTTGTTGTGTTGCGGCACCAAAGTGGCGCCAGGATGCCACGCCCGTAGACGGTGCTTATGTGCGCGCGCAGCATCCATGCCATGTTTGGAGTTGTTCACATTCTTCCCTGGGTCCATCACAGATCTCAGGTTCCTGCAGCATCTCGACGAAATGCGCAAGGACATGCAAACGCCGCGAGCCACAGCGGAGGAGGTGCACGAGAAATGCCGCGAACTGGCGGCAGCGATGCGAGACTCGGAAGCCCCTTAGCTTGGTACGACGGTGGCGCATGTTAGGAGCTCCACGCAATGTTGCGGGCTTGGCACACCTTTGTCCCAGTCATGCAGATGACTCAAATGTCCTAACTCTGAGGTGCAGATGTCCCGATGGTTTTCCTGGGTGGTGAACTTTCGCCAGTTCGGGAAAGCGTGGACATTTCTCAAGCTCGTCCACCAGTTTCGGACGCCGGAGTTGGTGACCGCAGCACCGGGTGAGGAGTCGGAGCCGGAAGGTGAGCTGGCCGCTGCAATTTCTGGGGCAGGTCGCGCTGACACGAAGAAGCAAGACTCCTTGCAGGCCTTGCTCCAACGAATGCGGAGCACCAGACCTGCGATGACCGTTGCGAAGGAGGTGTTGGAGGAGGAAGGCTTGAAACACAAGTCCTGGATGTGCCTTGACTGTTTGGGCTCATGGATCACAGAACGGATGCGTAGGAATTTTCTGTTGCGGGCTGCTTCTCCGTATACAATACCTAAGGCTCGCTGCAGCCCAGCTCCATCTCCTGGAAGATCATCTGGCGATGCTGGATGCATGCCGCACAATCGAAGGATCCCGTCAGCTACTGATTAACTGGAGCTATCGCTCTTGGGTTCTGGTTGTTGGTGACATCCTTGCAGACTTGAGCAATCCGATGGTTCTGGACAGAGCCGGTCTTCTGCGACCGGATGACCGACAGGAAGCCGGCAAGAACATGCAGGACGATGCCGCCACCTTTCTGAAGCTGACGGTGCGTGCCGCATCGCAACGTACCTGGTCGATGCTTGTGTACTCGGATCTCCCGCCCAACTGCTGGCACCGCCTTTTGTCCTCCGATGCAGAATCGGCTAAGGGCGCTCTGCAGGAAATGCGTATGGACCAAGAGATCGTGGACGATGCCTTAGAGATTGTTCGCAGCTCCGATGGGCATCCTGGCAAAGAGGCACCGACCGCATGCTGCATTCTCACATAAGCCTAGTCTATAGGGCTCGCAGTTACTCGGTTTAGAGCTCAGGTTGAAAAATGTCAAGAAGGCTTTAGGGTTCAAAACTCGGGAAGATGGGTTTAGGGTTTAATTTAAGGGCACTTGAGGCTTCAGGGCTTATACGTGTTTTAGGATACGTGCTTTGAGTCTTGCTGGTGTCAGGCCTTGGCTGAGCTACTCAACGACCTGTGGGTGCACAAGCTTGTTCTTGTGCGCGACCCCTGAACAGCAGGCATGGTGACACAGGTCCCGTTTGTAGCAGCGTTGCTTGTAACAAGGAAGCCTGCACCCATCCTTTGAGTGCCATCAAAAGCTGCGCTGCCGAGGAGACGTGGGACCATGCCCGGAGGCATGACTGGAAAGCGGAGGCAGTCTATGCCCATGTGCATCGCTTGGCATCGACGCTGGTGTCAACGAAGGAATCGCTGGAAGATATTCTGGGGGACTTGGGAGACAGAGCCAGGCGAGATAGCAAGAATGCGCTGAACGTCTCTCCGGAACGTCTCTTTATGCAGGCAGCACTCAGCGCACGCCTTGAGCGAGCCCCTGAAGAGTCCTACTTGAGGCTGCAACCAGGCGATTATTCGAACGAGCGTTGCAGGAAATGGTCACGGTCACGCAGACTGGTCTTCGGGCTGCAGTCCCCGATGCGGAGTGGTGTCGCACGCTCCATGAAGCGCTTGTGTGCACAAGGCCGATGGAACTGCTGTTTTGCTTGTGCGCAGGTTCTTTAGTCTATAGTTCGTCTGAAATAATTATAGCTTGGACAGGAAAGGCGGTTCTGCACAAGAACAAAGCGGAGCGTGTCTGGCAGCCTGCAGGGCAACCAGCGGAGTTCCGGGCTTCTGCAGCTTATCAAGCATTGCGAGCTTTGGCTTCTGACAAGGAGCCATTTGCAGCGGCAGGAGCGCTTTGGACGGGATGCTTCCTCCAAGAGAATCTGGTATTCTTTCATGAACCGTCTGGCAAGCATTTCTTATCCTTGGGGTTCGAGTCTTACGTTGCCGTCCTCTGGGAAATCAAGCCCAAAGGAGTTCCTCTGGCAGGAATATGTGTGCAAGCCCGTTTCACGATTTACTGTTGTGTCGTGTCAATGGTCGCTAGAAAACAAACACCGGCACAGGCAAACTGCACTCAGGACAGCTTGTTTCAGCTGATGGACAACGCTCTGCATCGTGCCGAAATCTCCAAGCTCTTGCAGTTTACCGTGAACACCTCTCTGGCCACATCGCCGGGCGAGGCCGCGACCGAAACCTTCCATGGCGTTCCCTGTGAACCCTGCCAGGTGCTCAGATAAAGAAACTGATATGTTAGGTTTCTGTCTTGCGGTAGTTCACCTTGCATGGTGCCTCCCTCCATCTGGACTTTGGGAGCTTGACACCGACACTGGGCGATGCTGTTCAGGCATGCAGGTGAAGCCCAGACCTTTGAAAACAGAACCGGATAGTGCGGAGTCGTCTGAGGCTTGCCAAGCGGACGTGAGGAATTTCGCGACATGGGATTGATGCTCCGCAAAACCGGTGACCGCCAGGCTCTGCTTCCACACTGGCTCGAGCATGGTGTCTTGGACAGCAGCGTGAGTGTGCACCTGCCCACAGTCTTGGCAGCGTTGCAAGTGAAAGCAGCGAGATTTGAAGAAAACAAAATCTCGGACAAGTCTCGCCTGAAGCTTGGTTGCATGTTCTTAAACGATGTGGACGTAAGTCGGCCGCAAGGTAGGCTTCACGTTTGGGTTCTGGTACAAAGCCTAAGTTTTGCAGTCTGCAATAGCTTAAATTTTGCTGGCAAGTTGTTGTCCCGAGTGCCGGTTTGCCTAAGACTCGTTTCGCATGAACTAGGGCATCAAGTTCGCTCGGCAGCTAAGAATGACCATCATCCAGAAGGTTTTCGCTGATCGTTCGGATGCTCAGCACTGCCAGATGCTCAACCGCTTGATGAATTCACGAGGCCAGACGCTGTACAGGCCCGAGACATTGGGACAGGTAATGATGCACCTCAAAACAGCCACAGATGCGAGACATTTTCAAGATCTAGAGCATAAAGTCGGTTCCGCAGAAATCCAAGAGTTCATACTCGGGAGATTCGGGACATCAAGAGAGAAGGCGACGCACTTTACGCCGGAAGCAATCAAGGCTTTGCGCCCTCCGGGGGAGGGCGTGTATCTTGTGTGGCAAATGACTGCAAACATGTTTGAAGCTTACTATCCGAAAGATTTGTTCGCCAAAAAGGAAGCAACGGAGCCGCGCGCAACTCCGGAAGGCCAGGTTGAGACCCCAGCAGCCGCTGAAACAGTTGAAGCTTCTACGCCTGCAAAGAGGCGGAGGACCAAGACACCTGCTTCCAAGGAGAAGATGCGTGTCAAGACGCACATCACTTGTTCGCGCCAGTATGGAGCCATTAGAACCACATCGGCAGCTCTGTGGCAGACCACCAACTTCCTTTGGAACATGCATGCGAAAGCAAACCATGTTGCTTGGACGCCTGAAAAACCCGACTAGCAGTACTATGTTTGTGCTAATCGTAATTCTAAACACAGAAGCCGAAAACGTTCGCAACTGAGGATGTTTCCAAAAGGCCATCCAAAGCTGATGTCGACAAAGCACTACTGGACGCTCAGACGCAGTTGGCTGACGGCAAGACAGCCAGTGCAGAACCCGCAACTGCGGATGCGCTTCAAGCAGACAATTCGCAAGATGAAGCCCTTCATGATCCAGACCTCGACGACAACACCGACGACGGCCTAGGGCCAAACCACGCAGACGAGGAGGGCAGTGACCAGTGCGACGGCCCTGGTAATGCAGAGCTTACAGGCGCATCTCTGTAGGGCCTAGGAGTGGTGAGGGCTGCGAGAATCGAGTGGGCGGATCTTTGGAGGGGTGTGGGCATGGGGCGGGGGGGTGTGGTGCCTGGGTGGTGGTGTTGGGAGGTGTGGTGGCGTGCAGCGGTGCAGTGGAGGTGTGGCAAGAGCTGGGTGAATGGGCGGGAGCGTGGCGGATCTTTAAGGAGTTTTTTTAATGGGTGTGGGTTGGGGGCGGGGGTGGAGTAGAGGGGTGTGGTGGTGGTATTGGGAGGTGTGCTGGCGTGCAGCGGTGTGGTAGGGGTGTAGTAAGGGCTGGGTGCTGGCAGGAGGGTTTGGCAACCCCCTCCCTTCTCGATCGGAGAATTGGGGGGTTGGCAAATGCCGAAAATCAGGAGTTTGGCAACCCGCCCCTTCTCGAGCGGCAAATGCCGAAGTTTGGCAACCCCCCCATTCTCGCACCGAGAATGGGGGGTGGGCCGAGTGTTGGAGTGTGACAAGGGCTTGGGTGGTGGCAGAAGGATTTTGACGGGTATGGGTGTAGTGTGGTGGGGGTTGTGAGTGGTGGTAGGAGGGAGTGGGAGGGTGGTGGGGGTGTGGTTTGGGTGTGATAGGGAGGTGGGTTTGGGTGCTTTGGCGTCTGGAGAGGGGGATGGTGGTGGAGGTGGTGGGGTGTGGTTTTGGGGGGCGTGGTGGAGTTCAGTGTGAAATGCCTTCCCAATCTGGGTGCGGTTTTTCTTGTCGTGGACAAGGCTGGCTTCGCCGCTTCGCGGGTAACGCTCTGGGTGCTTCCCGGAAACCCTTTTTTTTTTTTTTTNNTCGCTGCTCTCCGCCAGGCTTGGGACGTGGTGGGGTAAGGGGGGAGGAGTGGTAGGATATGCCAGCCAAACCTTTCCTTAAAATCTCTTTCTCATAGATTATCGAAGTATCATTCACCCAACTTGCAATGAGCCGTCAACAAACCTTGAGCGCAGGTGCCGAGAGCAGGCCTGCCGACGCTCTGCCAGGAGCTTCTGTTCGGCCACCGGGCGGTTCTGATGCGGCAAGCAGCGACTCGGGAGCTGCGGCCCGGAAGAAGAAGAAGAAAGGCAAAGGCCCAAAAGATGAGAAGGCAAAGAAAGAGAAGAAGAAGAAGAACAAAAAAAAAGACAAGAGCAAAGACAAGAAGGTTCGCGAAACGACTAGCCAGGAAGAGTCGCACCCACCTGGGCGAGCGTCCAAAGGTCGCGGCCGCCGGGGTCGGGGTGCACGAGGACGAGGGTAGTGTTTGACGTTCGCTTGCCTCTTGAAGAGGACATGAGCGGGGACTCCGTTTCACAGATTCAGTATGCGCATCGAGGCAGGTGAAAGGGATTCGTCGTGCACGTCACCGACTTGCTCTCAGGCCTCCAGTCATAGATCACCTGAACACTGACAAGTGACAAGTTTAGCGAGAAATCAGCATTTATAGGGGAATATTATAAACCCCTTTCATAATGGTTTCATAATAGTTATGAAAGGGTTTCATAATTTTTCCAGATTAGCGGTGCATCTGAGGGGTGCATAGGAGATGTCTTTGACTAAACCCAAAATACCCCTGGTGCCAAACGAGTGTGCCCGAAACGACGCATTTTGGACCTGAGTCGGGACCGGTCTCCGACCCCCAACTCCCATAGAGTACGCTTCCACCCCAAGCCCCGAAATCCTGTTGAACAGATCCGGTTTAGGGTTTAGGGCGTAGGGGTTTAGGGTTTAGGGTTTCCTCCATCCTAAACCAAAATGTAGCGGTCAGAATAATTTGACGTCAGACCCCCAGTTGCATAGCATCGTTGCGACACCGTGCCCCAAAATCCATTTCAATGATGAAGACCCCAAACTGAAAAATCAAAAAACAAGATGATATAAATCCTGCATTACCCATAATAAGGAATGTACCATAGTTCCCATAGCTTAGGGTTTCTTAACGTAGTGCAGGATTTATATCATCAACAGTATTACCCTGACAGAACCCTAAACCCAAACCCCTAGACCCTAAACCCTAAACCCTGAACCCTCAAAGAACCCTTCTAGATCCTTCAAGAACCCCCAAAGCACCCTTAAACCTTAAAGTCGAAACCCTCAGCCCTAGACTTTTAACCCTGAGCCTTAACCCTAAACCTTACCTCATAAGGTCCCGAAGCCC